ACTTCATTTTTGTTCCATAAATAGTTGTACTTATTGAACAAAAATCATCCTTCTCGCTATTTCAGAATATTAAATTTCTCTCTTTTATTTTCTTCAACTGATCATTATTTTTGTTCATGGATATAAATTATAAAAAAAAACGATTTTTTATTTTTTATATCTGTGTTACTATCTACAGCGGTAATTATGCGATTAGTAATATGTACAGTTAAACATCCAATTTCTATTTTGAAACGACTTGTTAATTACTCTGTATGCAATCCTAACCTTATGCAAATGAAAGTCGCACCATGTTAAATAGACCTGAACAAGACGAGATTAATTATACAGTATTCTTACATTCCTGATACTTTATTCAGTCTTCAAACACGAGATCTGATTACCTGGCACATTTTGTAGCTCATATCGTTTGTTTTATTTAACCTCTTGCACTCGAGAGGGGAGCCACAGTCGCCATTTAATCAGATTCTAAAGATGGACGTTACTTACTCGACGATATTTTGGCTAAAGAAGAGTAGGAGTTGAAAGATTTTCTGCTATAAATTTGAAGATATTTTTATCAGCAGTTAACACTAGATTTACGGACGCTATCTGTATATCTATTTCTACATATTTGACACCTGTCAAATTGACAAGGTAAAAGAAACCACGTGTCTTTTTTTTAACGATTAGTTTAATTTAAAAACAATTACAATATTAATAGTTATATATAGTTATAGTTATCTATAGTTATATTTATAGTTAGTTATAGTAGTATAAGTCAACTAAATCTGTTACCATCCTATAATTGGAGCAAGCCATCCGTCAAATTGACGGGTTCCGTAAATCTAGTGTTAATAAGAAATCGTATACTAATTAACACGTAGAATTATTCGATTTCGATACCTCGCACGCCATTACACTATCTTAACTCTTTCGCGATGGTGGGCGTCGCCACAGTCTTTCTCGTAGAATTGTCGTTAGTATCAGCATAGTACTGTCGTTACCAAAAATAAGTAAACATATAAGAATGTATTGTACTCTCGTTAACAAAAATAAATATACATATAAGAAAGTATATTAGTCCAAGTCGCAAGATATTCACTATGACCAAACTTGTCATAGAAGCTCCCTTTTCGTTGGATCAAACTATACTTAGTGTTGCGACGGCAATAATACGTGGAAGACGCGCCCCGCCGTCCTTCTTGACGATCAAAAAATTATAAAACGAGACATCAGACGATCGTGAGAAATCAAACAAAACACATCAGATGACGTAAGACGGTTTTGGAGCTCAGATAAGACACGACAGACGTGAACTAGGACTGGAAGACGCAAGACGGTAAACGGAAGATGGAAAACAAAACGAAAAACGGCAAGGGAGAAGACGATACACCACACACACACCAATCACACACACCCACATCATAATCGTAGAATAAAGCGTAATTACAACCATAATCTGCGCTTTATTACCACTTAAGTGCTCAGTGTCTCGTAAGGGATTCGGCACACTGAGAAAAAGGGGGCATCACAAGTATACCGTACGCTGCCCCCTCCGCGTGTAGCTCATCCACATCCACGCGGTGCAACACTTAGTTAAATTATAAAGTTATTTTGTAGGAGTGGTAGTATCTTCGGTAGATACCCCACTCCCAATATTCCGTTTCCAAGAGAGAGGTTTAAGTGCAGAATATCTTCTTTGTCCTGTTTGATGATGATGGACGGTGTTCCTGTTGCGTCCTGATCACTGCAACTCGCTCGGGGAGTTTCGCGGGGTTGTATGGCCCGTTACGTTGCTGCGGCAATGTTGCTGGGATGCGGCCTACCCTGACTTGATAGAGGTAGGCCTGGTTATTGTTGAACTACAGACAGTTCTATAGTAGACAGTCTCCTGCGCTGAGTTGTTGGGGAGTCTTGATGGGGTTTTTAGGAAGAATCTTTTTGTGAATGCCTTGTCGGTGGTTTTATAAGGTTCGTCTGTCTGCTGATTGGTTGGTATAATATTGGGGGTGTGTGCTAGCTTCAACGTCTTTCGGTGGTGGTGGTTGTTTAAACAATCTAGGTCCTTATACCTGTCGTCTTAAAGGGTAATATATCGGTCCTTGTCACGATTACCCAAGTGGTGACTTAGGTGACAACGAGTGTATAGAAGTCAAGGGATGCTGACAATAAGGACATAAAACAGTCCTCCACTTGACCTGGGACATTGCAGTCCTAGGGCCGCAACAGTTCCTATGGTGCTGGCCTGGTAGTATCCCGGTAGTCGTCGTTGCTATCGATAGGGTAGCATGTAGAAGGACGACAGGAAAAGGAAGGGATGCGTTTCGTCTCGGGCCTGCTAGTGGACTCATCATTAAGGCTTGCTTCTAGCAGGCCCTGCCTTAGACCAGGGATACTTAGGTGTCACAGGAACGGCTTTTACCGAGGACTTGTAGGAAAGTCCTCGAACCTCCTTCAAGTAGGAATCCATCTATTGGCGAGGGTGAGAACTTGGTCGTTACAATTTAAATCAAAAAATTACTGAACTTATTAATTAATTAAACTTAGTTAAATTAAAAATAGGTGCGAAATGGGGCATATGAGCGTTGAAGTGTACATTCTACAGAATCCCCAGATACCTGATTTATTTTTACACAAAGTATTATGGCATGTTATGATTAATCGGAAGTAAAACAAATCATAAGAACACCAGATATTTTCTCACTAAACGTTAAAATTCGTAGTTTAGAGTGACACTTACGACAAAAGTGCAATGCTTCTTGCATACTAGATGCTTATAGATATGAGAAATAAAACTTAATTACGTCAGATGTCTTTGTTTACAAGATACTTTATATACGAAGATGATGTTACTCGTTTTTTGTCTTTTCTTCACTCTGCTAAAAGAGTAATAATTCATTGAATTGCATGAAAATTGTAAGATAGGTACTTCAAAGTACCTAGAACACCATGAAACTTTCAATTTATGAAAATGTGAGCTATTTTTAGCCAGTTTTTAAGGCCTCCTGGCCCATTGTGCGCCGTGCCATATTATCAAAACATTATGATCGTGTAGTCTTCAGCATGCAGGGCTAAGTTTTTTGAAAAAAGAAAGAAAAATCGATCATTGTAATAGCATTTGCAATTCTTTGCGAAGAGAGCCAAGCGAACGGTAGCCCTTGTCTTAATTTTTGGTTCAATTTTCATGGCCGTGACTATAGTCACCCGTTGTGCGTAGATGGCGTCTCGTGGCCGTGACTATAGTCACCCGTGGTGTGTAGATGGCGTCTCGTGTCCGTTACTATAGTCATCCATAGTAACGAAAGGGTTAAATTTGACATATTAATTAATATTGATCTTCGAAATTTTATTAAATGGCGATTGAAGGGCACCTCTCGAATGCAAAGGGAATTTAATCGAATTTAATCGAATCGAATTTAAAATTACTTAACAATGCGTGGAATGTCGAAGTAAAATAATTCTATTAATTTGTCTTAATTTTTATACGATTTCTTATTTACGATTTTAAAAGTATCGTCCATTTTATGACAGAAAATCTCTGAATTGCTAATTTTCTGTAACGAGAAAATGGCCGACTGCACAATGTCCATATATCGAATTTAAAATTACCCAACGATGCGTGGAATGTCGAAGTAAAATAATTCTATTAATTTGTCTTAATTTTTATACGATTTATTATTTACCATTTCAAAAGTATCGTCCATTTTATGGCAGAAAATCTCGGGATTGCTAATTTTCTGTAACGCGAAAATGGCCAACTGCAAAGGGTTAATATGTCTCAGGTGAAATACAGTTCTCAAATTAAGATTGACTAATTTTAAATTATGTTAATATTTTTACCTCTACTTCTTATCGTTGTCTGGCAACTTTAATTAAATTCAGGAAAATTTTGGATAATTTAATTTACACGTCTGAACCGTAGGCTTTAGTAATTAATTCAACTGCAATATGAAACTAGTTGTCACGTGTTACTCTGCTTTAATTAATTCTTCGTAATACGATGCCGCTTCTGTTTATTTATTTACATAATCCAACAGAATTATCGAGCTTGTCACGAGTTACTTTATCCTAATTATTCTCTGTAATAATATATACATCTGTATTTCTCAAATTCTGCCTCTTTGATTTATTTCATTTATAACGAAATTTTTAACAAAATGCAGTGAGCTATTTTAACACCTAATTGATATGACTATACCTATTATTAATTCTAGATAAAACAAAGATTCATAAAAATGTATTATGTATGTCTCTTTTAACAAGCACCCTACCATAATCTAACTCTTTGTTTTCCAAACTTTTATTAAAAATTTCGCGTTCAACGATTTCACCTTAATTACTCTTCGTGATTTTTCTTCCAATATACGTATAATAATTTTCCGAATGTCTCCCATTATTCCATTTTTTGAAACTTCAGCTTCTTTTCCATTCACCGGTTATTTGACCATGGGGGATGTAGTGTTAACAGGAAAACTGATAATTTATATATATTATCTGTAACAATATTCCAAGTTATTATATTTAATAATATTAAATTATTATTTATAATAATATCATTGATCAAGAATCACGTGAGAGAATTTTACTGAAATAAAAATTGTCATCACAGTATATTTCCTCTTCAATCTTGCATATCTCCAATCCTTATTTGTCCAAAACAGAGTAGCCACCTTCCCCTCTGATCTCGTATCTGAGAACCAACAATTGTCATAAACATCTGAGATATCTCATATGTATATACCAATACATACCAAAATATACGTTTCCAATATTACATCAACAACCGATTAAAAGCAGCCATAAAATTTACATACATATGTACATGCAACGTCCAACAAGTCACACGACGTTGCAAAGGCTTAACCAGTGTCGACGCCGAAAAAAGAGCTGAAAAAGGAAAGAAAAATTTGTATGAATGAGACACGTGAAAATTCCTCGGGAACAGCGAGGCTATAAATTGTTGTCGGCTGCGTACACTTTTACACGAGCTGAATTTCACCGTGTTTTCTGCATTGCAGGCGGTGTCGGAGAGGCTCGAGTTGGCACCAGCTGGAGGAAGATCAGAGCCGCAAGTGAGTACCACTTGAAAATGCACGCTTCCTTTTCCTTACGAATGCCATCAAGGCCGAGCACTCGGATTTTGCATCGCGACGAAATCCACCGCACATGAGACGTCTGAGGTCGCTTCCGTCCCGGTACACGTCCTTCCAGTTCATTCTGCTAGACGTTGAAACGGTTCCTCGCAAGATCCAAGCGTCCAATCCCGTCTGCGTAACGCAATTTACTCGGGATTAAAATGGTCCTTTGTTCGGTCACTGGCAGAAGAAGGGAAAAATTCTAACCCTATTCTGTGGCGAACCACGGCTTTGGGTCGTTTCTATGAAAGAAGAATTGACCTGCCAGCACTGAGGATTGAGTAACTGCAGATCTCTGTAAACGATTTTAATAACATTTTGTTACTAAATTTTATTCAAATCTTTATTAGTTGATTTGGAGTGTATTAGTATCACAAATTGGGTATTAACATTACCAAATACTTGGTTTTTCATTGTTAAGTATTGTTACTTTTGACAACATTGATTTTCACTGTCTGATATTTTATAAAATATTTCACAAATTTAATTTCCTAAAAATTGTGATATATAACGTATGTTTAATTATTGCTATTATATGTTGCAATACTGCTGAGTAGCTTTGAAGCTAAATCGTGGTTCACCATAGTTAGGGTACCATGGGGGCTGTTGGACAACTAGGTTTGAACGTTAGTTTGGGTAATCCGAAGTTTCGAGTAAACTGGATTCAAGGAACTTATGCTACAGAATAATCCTCTCACTAGGTGATACAAAGATAGTACCGTCATAAAAACATCATACCCAAGACGCCATGTTTGTGTGGATATGTCAATGATTTGTCAATTTTTCTATTTAACCTAACGGGTCGAACGAAATTTTATTAGTCTATTAAATTACAGTAAAGGCTGATTGTCGGATCAGATATACATATATTCAAATATAAAGTCCTCATGGTAATGTTTTTGTAACTGACTTTGAGTTCCTTAACAAGAAAACCACTGTATATGTTTGAATTGCGGTGGATCTAGCATTTAAGAGATATATATGTTATATTTGAATCTCAAAATCTATCAATATCTGATCTAACTAGTTAATCATACTAGTTTTAGTCAGTTAATTCTAGAAATAACGATGGACCATCAGTGGAAAGTGAAAGTGACTTGGAAAGTTGAGTAGTAAATTGTTTTGGCAGTTTTCACTAGACGTGACTAGTTTAAAATTAGTATAACTGAAACTATTGCTATAAAGAGTGAATAAAGACTGGGTAATCTTAAATATTATAGCAATATGTCTTGTAATGATGAATAAAAATGTTTAATGTTATTTAACATAATGGAACTGATTATTACTCAGAAACTATTTGATGTAAATTATAGTATAAATTAGTCAGATAAAATTAGACATATCCAATTTTAACTTTAATGCTAAAGTTAGGCACTTTGGTTAAAAAACATTTGTCTAAGTGATTAATCTATAACTTTTAATATTTCTGAATACTTAGAGTAACTAGTTTTGTCTAGTTATATTGGATATTGCTTTTGATGGCAATCAAAATTATTATTACTTTTTTCTAGTTACAACTAGATTTATTTATAGGGGGATTTTGACTTTTTCAATACTGATTTTAATTAATCAGTACAAGTAATAATTAAAAAATTCCAGGAAATATTGGTACCATAAAATATACTTGATTGATTTTATAAGTCATTAGTTAGAACTAATATCAACATAAAGCTTGATAAAACTGGTTTTAACTAGTTAACTCTGGTTTTTACAACACAAATATATCAAATAATACAAAAAATGGCCAAAAGGAATATATATTATGAAAAAGTTTTGTTGAGAAAGTTGATTTTTCATACTTCACACTATCTGTGAAAAACTAAGATTCAATAAATTTACCTGTAATGTTCATAACATGAAACATGGACATCAATTACATATCAAAAAGTAAATAAGGAAAAAGATAATTATTTTATATTACTTTTATATATCTACATAAGAAGTGCCCATTATTATTCGAATACTTCATTTGTTTAATACTCTTGGCATAGTAGAAACTCATATAATCAAAAACAGTGGAACTAGAAAGACAATACATTTTCTGACTGTATATTTTTTCTTCTCAATTAATAGTTATTGTCTTCTTATATGACACTTCTATCCCTTTATAATTTAATCATTCCATAACCTCAATTACTAGGAATAAGATACTGCACAACCTAAAATCACAAAAACAGAAACTATCTATCTTTTTTCTTATCTTTCATCATATCAACACCATACAATAACCAGAATTGGTTTATCAATCGCTTAAACAAAGAATCATACATCCTAAATCTGGCCTTGCTCCCATCCACGTTACAACTCGCTCGAGCAAACAGAGTAAAGCGGAACAACGTTGGAGAATTTCATGCTGGTAGTTGGTGCAACTAGTATCTCCCTCGTTTGCTCGAGTGATAAAAAAGACATTGTTCCACCCCGGGATTCGCATTCAGACTATACGTGGAAACGAGCGGCGACGAACTTTTGACGATTTATTACGTTTCGAGCTCGTCACCGTGGAATTTCATTTCTCCCGGGCTAAGTGAGCGGGTAACAAAAGACGACGACTCTTTATGCGAACGCTTTGCAAAGGTTGCCACATTGTGCGAGACCGGCGCAGTGTACTTGGCGCAGCATATGGGGGAACAAGGCCGCTGGGTCTCATCGGCCGACAGGAAGAGCTGCATGACGGACAAGATGGATATTCTCGAATACTGTAAGAAGGTAAGCCTCTGCAACATTCTCTGCTTAAACCCGTGTCATGAGATTTATCGTGATAAATGATTAGATTTGTATCCGTGATTCTGATCCTTTAGAATAAGTTTCATTCCCGTTAACTTGTCTGGTATATGGAATTCCATTGGTATTTCTATAATTTTTCTTTAAGTCATATTACCGTTTGCTTTTGTACTTTAACTGGTTCCTTGAATTTTAATTGATTGTATATAGCGTTTCATGTGATTGAAATTTTTGTTATGTAGATATGTACACTATCGACTTAAGGTTTGGAATATGTATGGTATTTTGAGGTTAGATTGTGACAGAGAGTTAAATATTAGGTTGTTATAAGTAATATGACTGAATTTTTAATGTTCGGAGTTCCAAAATAATGAAATAACGTTTTTAGATTAATATTAAATTAATGCAGATGAAATAGGTAAAATTTTTGGAAAAGTTTTCCATATCTATAGTGTTATTAACTAAAGTTTTAGTTTAAATATTAAGTTGTTGCGGAAGGAATTGCCAAAATCTAAAACTTTTAATGCCTACCATTTTATTAAACAAAGTTCTAGCTTAAATATTCAATATTGTTGTAGGAAAAGTAGTAAATTTCTTAGTAAAACTTTCAGTGTTCATAGTATTATTAAATAAAGTTTCAGATTGGATATCAAGTTATTTTAGATGAAATGATAAAATTTTTTTAATAAAACTGCTTATATTTACAGTTTTATTAAATAAAGTTTTAAATTAAATACTAGGTTAATATAAATAAAATGATAAAATTTTAGATTAAATATTATTTGCAGTGTCTATAATTCTGTTAAATAAAGTTTTATTAAATATAAATTTTTATGAAATAAAGTTTCATTAAATATAAATCCTTATTAAATAAAATTTTAATATTCATTCAGTATATTTTGAGCAGTACAAAACATGTTGCTCATATCCTTATTAATACTTGTATATTATGTTGAATTTCACCCTATCTAGAGTCCATTAGCGGCCATCTTGACAAAACTTTGATTTTATTAGTTTCGCGCATAATTTTTCTAACAATTATTACTGTTAAAAATTATTACGTAGAATAATTTCCAATAATTTTGTAATTCTTTTCATAACCAATTATATACTTTTTATTGAACTACGAGATATAGTACGGAAACTTAAATAATGAATAATCAAAGGTTATGTAGTTCCCGCGTTTTATTTAAAATGTCATGCATAGTGACTTCGTATTAACATCGATTTATCAAGTGGTTTTATAATAATGATTTCAAGTGATTATAAAGAGAATGTATGTTAATATACTGCATAAATAAAATGTATCTTTGTATCTAATGTAGGATTCGTTTACAGCGCAATAAATTTAAAAATTGTTTCTCTTTAAAAAAGAAGTAGGGAAACGTCATGTTTTCCCTAGTAGTTTTCAAATTGAAATTTATAATTCGTTTTACATGAAATGTAATTAAAATGGCGGAATACGATACGGTGAGTTTAATTTTGATATTTGTAGCGTTTGTGGGTACTGTTAGTATTAAACTCGTAAAAGAAATTGGATGTACTGATAGAATATTTATGAGATAAGCCAAGTAGAACAATAAAGTGAAAATATGTGCATTTTGCAACGTAATTATTACTTTTGGAAATCTAATAATTTGTGAAAATTCATGTGAAAAATATCAAAAATTTATTTAATTTTTTTGAAAATATTTTTTAATTTTGGAATGAAATGGAAATATTTTTTAATTTTTTGTGAAAAATAAGTATATCGAATGAAATGAATACCTCAGGAGCAAGAACACGGTAATTCTGAAATTCAATATCTTGTTAATCAAACCTCTCTGATAAAATGTATCATATATCACTTAAATATACAGTAACCTTTAATATTAGATTAAACACTTCATGTACAATTATTTACAGATTTGTGAAAATTTTAATTCATAGAAATTAATAATAAAATTGTAGTGCTACAAAAATGCAAACATACAAAAATATATAATTCAAAGTAAAAAATAAGTTTATTAAAATTTTATATCAAGTAACAATCAAGAATTATTTGGTACAAAGTAGCAACAATTAGTAATTATATAAAATAATTAGTATAAAATAAAAAAATTAGTATAAATAAAAATGATAAAATAATTGAAAGAAAGAATGGAATAAAAATTAAAAAATAATTGTTACAAAGTACTAACCAAAAAATACAAAATAATTTATATAAATAATGGAATAAAAATTAGAAAATAATTGTTACAAAGTAATAACGAGGTATGTAATTTGATTGACATAAAGCAACAATTAAAAATTATAATGTATCGATTAAAAATATGAATTAATTGATATAAATTAACGATTCAAAGCTATAAAATTTTTGGTACAAATCAGCGACTGAAAAGAATAACCTAATTTATATCTTCCTATTCTATTTAAAATATTCATGTATTTGAAATTGAAACCTCGTAAGGGTAGTCTTCTCGCCCCAACCAAGTATTTAATTATCCACGTAACGCTTCGGGTAGCCTGATTATTCGAGCAAGCTTGCAAAAATTCCATCTGCTCGAGCAATTTCATTTAAATATTTAAATAGTTTCCTTGCATTCAAGTTGTTTCAAGTTGTTTAAATAGAGACAAATAACTTCAATCATTCCTAAGTACATAATTAATTTTGTATTATTAATTCTTTTGAAAATTCGAGCTTCGCAGTTGTAAATTCAATTCAACTTTTACAGTAGTTTCGATTTTAAATCAATGAAAATCACGAATTCTTAAAATAAATTATTATTTTCCTCTTTATCGTATTCCTCAATATATTTGTTTGTAACAATATATGACTGTATTATATAATCTTATTTATTTATGTAATATATGGTGATTGCAGGCTTAAAATATAAAACATTTTTGTATCAATATATAATAAAAATATATAATAATTGTGTTTAATAAAATGACAAAATAGTATAATAATGTATTACAATATAAAATAATATAAAATTCTTTAAAAATTTGGTAAACTGTAGGCATTGTATATAATATAAGTTTATGATGTATGAAAAATTATATTATTATTTTTATTAAAAAAATTATATATATTTAAAAATATACAAATGAATCTTGTATTCATATGTATTTTGATTTCTAAGAAATATTACAATTTTATTTCTTTTAATTTTTAATTTAAAAATATGTAAAGCAAACGATTTTCATTTAGGTTGAGAGACACTGGTCTAACATTTATCCTTGATCTCTAAACTGTGAATGACTGCTACGGTCATTTCTATTGCAATAATCTTTATCTGAAAAATTTCATCACGAAGATATTCATCACGTATATAATATTATTTATAATCTTCTATGAATAAACCAAAGTAACTCGGGCTTCGTTCCAGTGGATATCTGATGATATGAATCCATCGTGTTGAATATTAAATCAGTTGAATATAAAATTAGAATTAAATTGTAAAAAATCTATTTTTAATAGAATTTCACGAATTCAGTAAATTCACGTCATGAATTTTCTCAAGTTTGATATTCCAAAGCAAATTTTATCATTTTTGTCATTATACGAATGACAGAAGTCTGCAATAACCGGTTTTTGAATTATTTTATTTTAATTATTATTGATATTTAATATTTATTATATATAACATTAATATTTTATATTTTTCGTATTTAATAATATTAATAATTTACAGTATATTAATTTATTTAATATATATTATTAAGAAAGTGGAAAAACTTTTTAATATATATTATTAAAAAAGTGGAAAAATACGGAAGTGTTAAAAATTTGTGTATAAAAATTGTATATAAATGTACGAATAGGGAATAACAAGTTGGTTAATTCATTTAAAAAGTTGAGAACCACTGAGATGTAGTTTCATATGCAACAGATTTTAAATCCAGTTTACTAGACGATATATTTACCATTTCAAAGTCTAGATATCACACTGTCGTTTAATTAGGTTACGCTTTTGTCTCCTATCTCCTGCTATGAATAATTTAACATTTCGACCTACTGATGAAAAAGAAGAAAATCTTTTGTGCTGCTAATTCTGGCATTAATTTCAAATCAGTACTATATACATGTCAAAAACAATCTAATCAAAAACTTTTCTGAAATAAAATTCTTAATCCATCTCCCATTTTGTTCATTTAATTTTTGGGTCCTATAGAGTGCTTAGTAATTCCAAACTTTTGGTCGATAGTGTACGTTCAAAGCAATATAAAATTATTTTACATAATTTTAGTATTTAATAATCATTTATTTGCAATTTTATATAATTATTATATTTTGACTATTCCGTAATTTTAAATAACCATTTTATTATAAGATATATAATTTTCAAAATGTATAAAATTATAATTATTCTATTATAAATTTTTTATTTTTCAAACTAAATAAAATTAGAATTATTTTATTATAATTTCCATAATTTTACAAGTAGATAAAATTGTTATAACTTACATAATGTTATAACTATATAAAATTATAATTATTTCATTATAACTTATATCATGTCACGAAATTTCAATTATTTTATTATAACTTTTACAATTTTATAAATCTATTGGATTATAATTATCTCTATAATAATATAACTATGTAAAATTATAATTATTTTCTTAAAATTTGTATCATATCACAGAATTTCAAATATATTTTTTATAATATTATAAATTATAATTATTTTATAACAATTACATTTTTCAGGCTTACCCGAAAAGAGACATCACCAACATCGTAGAGTCATCGCACTACGTGAGGGTTAGCGGATGGTGCAAGCCAGGAAGAACTAAATGCAAATTGTCGCGTTGGGTCAAGCCGTACAGATGTCTCGGTACGTATTAGCATCGGAATTGCTCTGTGATAAGTAATCTGGATAGACAGTGTTTCAGTTTTCATTTTACTCTCCCAGCTTGTTTGGGTTTAACAGAGTTGACAAGGCTTTGTAAATCGATGAAAAATGGAATTTTAACGCGAGACCATGGTATATGACTATGCAGATCGTGACTGCAATTGATGGCTCAACCGGATATAGAGTGACTCCTGATGCAGGAGTAAATCATTCAGGATGAAGATTTTTTCTTTTTTTTTCTTTTTTTATTTCTTTTTTTTATCGGAGGAAATGGAATTAGCAGATAGAAATTGATCGAAAATAGGTTCAGGATTTTTGGTGAGGTATTTGTGTTTGGATTTCCTGCTTGTAGAAGTAGATTAGACGAGATGAAATTTTAGATATTTTATTGGTTTACTGATTTTTTTTTTTTTAGAAGAAGAATATCAGCAAGTTTTATATTAAATTCTTTTTTATTTTATTGCCGAGGAAATAGATTTGTCAATTTTTAACAGTAACTGCTTTTAATATTTGCAAACATCCAATAATTTATTTTTAGTGAATGTGAGTTTTGAAATATCCAATGATTTGTGTATGTTCCATTTTGTTAAAATTTTTAATATTTTTTGAAATATAGAATCCGTAGATGAAAGTTATGGAAATGTAAAAAATGCAAAGATCAATGGAATGAATGTGAATTTAATCGTTTTTTCAAAATTGCTATTCTTGAAAATGGAATCATGAATAAAACAAGTTCATCCTCTGCTTTTTCTTTAAATTGCATCTTGGATTCACATTAACAATTCAAATACTTATCAGCACATATAGAGAAGTAATTTTCCATTATATATTAAAACCATTTTTGTAAATCTTTTTACAAAGCTTTTTTTACTATAACTATCCATTAGAAAGCTTACAAAACTATAAATCTTTTTATCAAACATTATGAAAAATATAGACATAGAGCATTTATAACTTTTAAATATCCATAATGAGAAATAAAAAAGGACCAAAAGAAAAAAAGAAGGACAGTACAATACACAAACATGTTTCAATGACCAATAATTTTTCTTTTTACTTATTTTCACACTTCTCTTCCAAGTAGCTCAATATTTAGCATGTTAAAGAGAAAGCGTGAAATTAGTACCCATGCTCGCTAATTTGAATGGAAAAAGTATTCATACATGTTGGATTATTTAACGTATACTTATTCTATTTACACTTAGTGAAAGTGTAGATGTGAAACTGAATGCTTCAGTAGAAAATACAAGTCTGACAATGTGGCTAACAAAAGCCAGCAATGCGAATGCAGCCAACTCAAGTGAACAAAATTTCTGTGCAACACCTGAAATTAATTTCCCTGAAAATATATTTGACTATTTAACACTGACGTGTTTCCACTCTACTCTTAGCTTATTAGTTTGTAATGAATATGTACATACTATCATGTAACACAACTACTATTGCTTTTATGTACATCTCAAATAAATTTAGGGAGAGTTTCCATTCTATTCTTCTCTTTTCTTCTCACATACACATGAAGTTTATGAATTTGAATTTAAATATGTATGAGCATATCTCTGTTGAAGTTTACCTGCGTATGTTTAGTTATAGGGAACGTAGATACTTTAATGTGCTTTTTCCATGTCAACTGAACATATACTTTGGATAATAAATGTGATTATATGGGTATATATTGACTTCATTTCAATATAATATTTTCAAGGGAATGGAATGAAATTTTAGATCAAGTAAGTTGGACTAAAAATACAGCATTAGTTAAATAAAATTATGTATGATATAGTACAATTATTTTTATCTATAATTAGATTATATAAAATGAACAAAATTTATGGAGTTGACACTAGAACTCTGGATGTATTTGTTGAAATATTCTATATATAGAATTTTCTAGTTATATCTGTATTATACTTTTTAAAAAATTATGGCATGAGTATAGTTTCTAATTCTAATTTGCACGAGATCTAATAGAAAATAAGTATAAAAAGAGTATTTGAGTTTATACATATATTTCATTGAGATAAATTCTGTTTGTAATTGTGCATTATTATTATTTCTTTCTAATTTGATACTAATTTACTACGCATAAAACTTTATTTTAATAAAACTAAATAACATTATACATAAATTTTGAAATAAGTTCTAACCAATTTTAATAGGAGAGAATAAAATTACGTATTCATGAAGTAGATAAGTTTTATCAAATTTTAGTTTGGCAAGATAGAATTATTGACAAAATAAAAAGAGTTTTAATGGAACAACATAAATTTATATATATTCATAGAAGAAAGAAATTATATATGAATGAAACAAAAAAATTATAATGGCACACATTAACAATTTCATTGCTTTATTACCAGTAAATTCTAATTTTCTTCAAGTACATTTGCCCCCATTTTTTTTTCCTTTAAAATATATTTCTTCTCTAATTTAAAATAGGTATGTGATGATTATACATATATTTAGATTGATTTTTTCCTGTTAAAAAAGAAAAAAAGGAAGATTATATTACTACATTGTGGTATTGGTACTGTCGACACGTTTCATATAAATGGGAAAGGTATCGACGTTTAAAGGATGGGTTCCGCATGATCTGTCAGTGACGAACTGTAACCAGGAAATGAATATTTCTGCTCCACAGAGTCTGGTAAAATAGTCATCTGTTTCTTTGTCCAATTGTTATATGGATAACGAAAAATATATTTTACACAATCCTCTATCTAAAGGACAATTGTCACTATGCCAGAAGCCTAGATCATGTCTGTTCAGAAAGAGCCTTATTCTATAAAGTATTTATAATAAAATATTATTTAAAAAAATATAAAAATAATAAAATATTAATATTTAAAATGCAAATTTAAAAAGTTATAACTGATTTCAATTTTTAACTTCTTAAATATTTGCTCCTGAGTAGCTTGGTATGAGCCATTTATAAAATAATTTATGAAAATAAATGTGCAGACATTTATGTTTTAAGATCCAGGTGTTCTAGATGTAATTTTTTAAATCTCTTCTATAGTGTAATTGCAAATGACTAGATTTACATTTTTTTCATTTTTCAGACATCTATTTAAATTTGGTAGTTTCACTCCTGCATCTAGCAAAAAAATTCCTATATGATTGTTATCAGTAAGAAATCTAGAAAGATATAAGATTAATTTAGAAAATTTAAACAGTCACGGAGCAATTTTTGTATTGTTTCAATACTTTTCTATGTTATGGTTGTACTCAGTATTTCAATTGTTCCTGGAAATAAATTGTCACTTTTGGGGATCCTATAAAATAAATATATTGCGAAATCTCTTAAAAATCAGGGATTAATATTTTACAATGATAAAAACAACATTACTTAAATTTTAAGTAAATGTAAATAGTATTCAACAAAAATGATATATCCCAACATTTAATTAGCTTTGCAGAAGTATTCCAATAGTATTAATCATGACACTGGTTATCTAAACATCATCTTGAACCACCACTTATTAAACTAGCCAATGAAAAACATATGATTAGTGACAAGATCCAGTGACAAGAATGTATGCTTAATATCAATATTCCAGTCAACACCTAACCAGTAGTATTCTACTTATATAACAACTTGAAATTCTAATGACAGCTTAAAAACATTGTTATATTAAACATTTCAACCGTATATTACTATTGTAAAACCGAGTGATGGTGAGCTTGGGTTTAGTTACTTTACTCAGCAGTGCCATCTGGCGTCGACTAGTGCGAAGTATCGTTTTTTAGCTTTATCTCTACTTATTCTATTACCTTGTTTTCTTAAGCTGTTTTAAATTCTTCTAAATCAGTCTTTGTACCCAAGGTTCGGTATTTTCGTGCCTCATATATTTATACAAATTTTTACATCCAGAATTGCTGAAAATTACAATTTTTCTTTTTGTTAGCACTTTCAGTATTATCTTCAGAAAAATCCATATCCTCTTTTATCCAGTTTTATTTCAAACAAGCGATAAACTGTCAACAAATATATATATCTTATCATGTTTTTCATCGTTGTGTATGATTACAGTACATAATGAAACTATCTAATTCTTTCCATCGATTATTGATTTAAGCGACTGTACCTTTTAATCCTTTTTTTTCTTTCTTGTTTTTTCTCTTAGACAATGAATTTACCTTTGAATTGTCTCTCCCTTGTTAGGGAAATTATAAGGAAAACACGAAAATTCTCATGATTCGTTCACTGCGAATTAAATAGTAAAATAGATGAAGAGGGCGGTGGCACGATTAGAGGAACCATTTGTCTTGGGACTTCCGTGAGTAGCTGTCTTTGGGGATTGCAACCACCGCCCACTGTGAAGTTCATGGGGGTGATGACCGCAACACAGGAAGGGTCACAGCAGGTCGAGGGGGCCCCAAGTGTCTACGTAGCTAATGGGCCCGTTAATTACCGTGACACATCTGGTTTATGATCCATCACTAGCTGAGCCAGCTAGGACATTAGAAACAGATATATATATGCACAATGTAATCTGAGAGTTTCAAGATCTTAATTGCAAAATTGGTCATTTTTGTCAATAATTTTTAATTGGTCATAAAATTAGATGCCCCCGTATTATAATTTAACAATTATCAATATTAGTGAATTTATAAATGCAAATTGTGAGATATACACTTATCAGACAATTTTTTGTTTAACTTACTATTTGTAAAGCTCATAGAGTTTGAATTCCTTTTTTTATAGTTCAGTATCTGTTCAATATTTTTATTGGTTTAGGGGATAGTTAGGGTTATGACATAGACTAATTCATGAAACTTGTTATTGATGTAGAATGTTATTATTATTAGAGAATTTATTAGCAGCATTAAGTTGTAACTTGTAACTTATAAAATTGCTCTAACTGATAGCTTATCATTGATCTACAAAGTCTAGATAACATACAGACAAAGTATCATTGAAAACAGAATATTAAATAATTTATGGAAGATTTTATCTGACTATATCATGAAACTGTACT